ATTTAATTTCATTTAAAGCGTGTAAGGTAGTTTGTTTACATAAATGCCTAATGCATATGGAAACTTCCTAAAGATCCCTGCTACTTTGTACCTGGTTCTATTAATGTTGATTTAACAGGCATAACGAGTAACTGATGTTGCTAAGAAGGGTGGTAATACTTTTTAATATTTTTAATTACATGAAATTATCTATCCTCTGGAAGAAATGAACCAGAGATTGAAATATGGAGTGAAATATTTTTTAATGCATTGGGGAATTGAATATATTATAAGAACTCAGATGAAATGCTGATTAGTATTTAGGAAGACTAATTATAGTTAAAGATTGCTCTGCTGAGCATAGGTTGATACGCAACCTTTCTGTGTCTTCAGAAATCTTTAGAGTGTAGGACACAAACCAGACTTCGCCTTTTTTGGAATCTGGTGCATGTGCATTTGTACAGCTTACAAAATGCTTTTTGTATGCAGCGAGTGGAGGATTGGTATGTAAATAAGGAGCCAAAGCATCACACAGCTGTAGCAAAATGGGATACAACTTCCCTGGAAAAATGGAGTCTGATTTCTAGGGGCGTTCATCTAACAGGAAGAATCTGTGCAAAGCTTGCAGGATGCAAACAGTAATGTTTTTGCTGATGTCAAGGGCTTAGTGAGTGGGGAATAAAATATAGTGGAAGACAATATATGGGATTTAAAAAAAAAGGTCTATATTGTATATTTTTTCAAGTACGTCTTTCTTCTAATATACAATTCCAAACTCACAAATGATTTGTGAATTTTGACAGAAGATATTTTCTGCAGTAGTGCTGTTCAATTCTATCTATGATGCTTTTTCATATTGAACTTTACGTACATTTGCATGCACTGTAGCACAAAAAGTGTTTAAGCATAGGGGCATAAAATGATCAGCTACTCAGAATGGGAAGAAGTTTATCCTTCTACCAAACAATTCATTATTGGAGTTTGATGTTTTCTGAAACGGTGTGGTTGTTCAGAAAAGATATAAAGCTAGATGGGTCTTTGGTCTTTTCGTATATAGTGGTTCTAATGTTTCTAAATTGCTGTTGCTAATATCAAAAGAAATATTGCAAATGTTGATCCACACAATACTTGTTTCCTTTACACAGAATGTGCCGCTGAAGGCAGTTGGCTAAACCTCCAGAGTAGTAGGATTTGGTTCAGAACATTATTTTTATAAAAATGTAAAATTTTAAACAGGTGTTCAGTAATATTTAACAGGAAAAAAATAATAAAAGCATATTTCATTTTCCAGCCACCAAAAATCCCCTTTGCACAAAACCTTTTTCTCCAGAAATAGAAAAGGAAACAGCTAATCCGTTAAAATCACCAGTGACCAAAGCATTTCTGCTGATGTCCCTGATTTATATTGCTATAACCCTAGACAGCTATAATGGATTCCTGCATAACACAGTCCCTCACTCCAAGCAAGACACCCAGAATGGGACCCAATGAGATAGTTTAAAGAGGAAGAGCTTAAGCTGCTTCCTTGAAATATTTTTTCCTAAATAAATCAAATACAGGCACATAGCCACACAGGGTTCTAAAACAAGTGCTGTTCCTTGTAGTAATGCCTACTGTAAAATTTTACAGAATTTGTTTTCTACTTTCTCCTGCTCAGCCCCTCCTCCAAGATACTTCTACAATACCATGTTCTAGCATGCTGGGAAGGAAACAGCCTTGACAAGGTATTTTATTTTCTCGTAGTGACAATGCAATCTTTTTTCCTACTAGAGATATTTCCTAATATGTGTCACTGGTGGTGTACCATTCATAAAAGCCAAGCACAAATAGGTCTTCTTATAGGAATTATAACCTTCAGCTTTCTACTACCTTTCTACTACCCATCTACTCTGAGCTTTCTTTTGTGTGCATTAGAAATGATTAGAAAAACTTACTGTTCTTGGAAATCATGTGTACCTTTGGATAATTTGAAGAAAGTAATTATACAAACTGAAATGGAGAGACATGAGACATCTTGGTGGAGATTGACTGGTGAGGAATTAGTGAGAGACCAGCTGGTGTGAGATCACCCAAAGACATGTCAAACCTGGTGGGCCTGTGGTGTCAGCAGTACTTATTCCCTGTCTTTTTTAATCTGTTATGGCCATTCTTATATGCAGCATACTCTGCAAAATTTTTCCAATGTACCTATTTGAAGTGCCAGGAGATCAATTGTCACTTAACATCTCATTTCGAACAACTGTATCTTGGAAATGCATTTTAAAATTATATATATATGTATATGTATATAAATAACAAGCAGGTTTTCAGGACACCTGAAGCTAGCACTTCACTAACTAGTAAGTCTGGATGGACAGCAGTGTTAACAGCTTCAAAGGCCATTTTTTAAAAGCTACAAATTATATCTTAAGAAATTGTATCACCAAGTATTTGAAATTATGCACAAAACTATCCAAAGTGATGTCCCCAAACATGTTCAGAAAAAAGCAGTATCTTGAGATCTGTCTTTCAGCACATTAAGGCCAAAAGTTCAATTCTTTTCAACAGAAAAAGGAAGGATCATTAGTCTTTTATTTCTAAGAAGAGCAAAAACCCCCCCAAATCTTTATCAAGAACCATTAAGTTCTCTTCCAGAATGTTTCAAATATCACAGTTCAAGTTCTCCTTCAAATGTCAGTGTCAGATTTCAGTGTCAGGTAGTCACCGCCTGTTCTATTATTACTACTGCTGCCTACCTTGATAAAAGCCTATTCATAATACATTCTTTTTAAAGATGCAGCAAGATGTTAATCTGTGTTTCCATCTATCTCTTGTACTGTTTTTATTGCAATAGCATCTAGACCTCAGGAACAGATGCTGTGTTAATATTAGTTAAAACAAAAACATGGAAAAAATTTGTGAGTATCTGAGACAGCGGGATGAATTTGCACCCTTTTTTAATATGTGGTGTTTAGCATTTGTACATTTTGTTCAAGGGAGTTAGCCAGAAGCCTAGTAGAAATATAAATCATAGCTGTAGGTAAACTACAGCTATATCATGGCTATATCCATAGGCAAAAAAAAGATGGATCATGGCTATATCCATAGTCAAAATTTTTTTAAAAGGTCACTTTTCAATACATTGTGTGCTAAATTGCGTAGAAGTCATTTTAGGTTGCATCCCTCTTTGCCCACCCAGTTGTTCTTCCAGAATATGCTAAAGCTTTTGGTGGTTCATTCGGATGAGTATAGGTCGTTGCACATTTTCAAGTAACGCCATTGTCCCAGTAATCTTTGTTAGCTACCTAAATACTTTAAAAAATACTTTGACTAAATATTTTTCCTTGTAAGTGTGGCCAGTGTAATAATCTGATCTTACACCTTTGTTTTTCCCTTATTCATTGTTACTGATTTTAAATCACAAGCCACTTTCAGCAGTGTCTATCTTTCCCTGGGCAGCAGTTAATACTTTTAGAGTATATTTGAAACTTTAATAAATATTGCTAATTACACAACATCTTTACAGACTTCAACAGTCACATGGCACTGCAACATTCATTATCACAGGGAAACTCTCACAGTGCATAAGACATTTGCAAGATGCTTTCCAACAGGTCTCAACCAGTTGAAACATGTTTGACCTAAATACTTGGAAGTCTGTTGACTGTGAAGGAAAAACACAATTTTTCAAAAGGAAGAAAGATGTCTTAATAACATTAAGATATTATAGTAGCATAGCTTTCTTTTGATCTGTCTTTGATTATTTGAGAGTAGTGGTAGACAAAATAAATCTATTTTTGAGAGGAAGAGAACTTTACTGTTCTCAGGCTGAAGGCACAGGCATGCAGAGTTTGTAGAACAGAGGGCCATCTAGCTTGTCCCCTGTTTCTGACTGTGACCATCAAAGGATGTTTAAGGAAAATGTAGAAGAAATAGAATGTATGTCCTAATGTTCCTTCCTCTGAATTTAGTGAATTTTAATCTGAAAGTTCATCTGGATAATCGTGTTTAAAAACTGATCTCAGTGAATGCATCTAAATCCATTCACAACTTTAACTTCCACAAGAATATAAATATTAAAGAAATGTTTCTGAAACAATACATTTCTTTTCTGTAATAGCAAGGCAAAGAAAGGCCAGACTGCGCTTCTCAAGTTCAAAGCTACACTGGAGCTAAGCTTTCACTGAAGAACAGCTATCCCCATCACAACTGCTATTTCAACGTGCTTTGCCTCTAGAGGTTATTTTCTTTTATGCATGTATGTTTCAGGTGTTGCTTACTGTTGGGGTTTTTTTAACTACTTTATTTTAAAAACCAGATTTCTGCAGCCATGTCACTGACTCACCTGATGGTACTATTTAATATTTTGTTTCTACTTACAGTCCCTTCCTTAAAATGTCTCTCTTCTGAAAGAAGTCCTCTATCGAGTAGCCAAGCAACCTAAAACCTTCCTTCTAAGATTAGTCATTGAGTCATCTTGCAGCTTATTTAATCCTATATTTCATACAAGTTCCTTCTCTTGAGGCTGGAAGAATTCCATTCAAGGCCAGAGAAGGCAGTCTTTCTCAGCTGGCAGCTCTTTGATCCTATTCTTGATGAAACTTTGCAGTGACATTTATAAGCATGAAGTAGGATTAGAGAATGCTCCTGTTCTCACATGGTGACTTTTTGTAGCTCAGGACAAGTATTCTTGCTCCTGCCACACCACCTTTGCTTTCCTCCAGATCAGCTCTGATGACTTGCTCATAGACTCTTTAATGAAAATCTTCAATCATCCATACATGCCTGCTTTTCATGTTGTAAATGTGCTTCTTCCCTTATCCTCCATCTACTGTTTCTTTAACCATTATTTTTGTCATTTTCTCCTCTCTGTCATGATCTTCTGTATAATGCAATTCAGTGGCCTCATGATCCTGCTTATTTTCATTGCCCCTTCCTCTCCTTACAGAGCTAGCTGCCCTTCTTTCCCCCTTGGTGTGTCTGCCAGTTTCTGCTCTTTGTTCCTCCCCCGTGGTGTTTCAGTTAGCTGTCTTTGCTCTTACCTTGTCTTCATCGCATGAGTGGCTACTTTTCTTTTCTGTGTCTCTGTGTTTCAGATCATCATTTTCTTCAGGCATCTACAGTTCTTGAATCTTCCATGATGTGTTGTCGTTTCTGCTCCTTCACGTCCTTAAATCCCCTTTAAAACTTGATTCTATGTACCCATGGCAACAGTCGCTTCAGATTCTGTGACCAAAGCAAGCACTGAATTGCTTCTGCAGTTCTTTTCTTGTTTACCATATCACATAGAAATGGGAGAGCTGAATTTGCTTATCTGATGACTCATAACTCTCCACTAGAATTGATGTTTGAGCCCTTTTCCTCAGAGCTGAGTGAACAACTCCTAAAGAACAACTCATTTAGTGAAAGTAACCTTTTTTCTTTTTTCTAGTTACTGTAAAACAGAATCTGTTGGATTTTTGCAAAGAGTAAATACTGAATGGTTGTTTAGGGTTTGATGAGCCTTGGAATATTCTTCCACAAACCTTTAGAGAAGAAAAGTCAGCAATGGGCACCACGTATCTGGTATGGTGAGGGAGGAAATAGGATAGGCCAACTTTGTTAGCAGCCATCTGTCACTCCCACAGACACTGTCTCTTGTGTGTGAGTGATTGAAAACACGTGAAACAATGCAGTGGGTTCAGTCTGAGGGGATGGCTTTGCAAACCCTTGGCAAAGGGTACTAGGAAGCTGCAAGCACCTCTCAGTAAGGACAGCTACTGATAAGCTCATCACAAAATATTGCATGATACATAGCACCAACTAAAATGTTAAGGAAACTACACAGGGGTTACATATGTAACATGTACATTGTCAATTAAGAAATTAGGAGTGAAATGCAGAAGTGGCTATGATACGTAGAAGAATGCTTAATTAGGCAGGGATGTAGGTGTATACAGGGTTGATTGAACTTGTGAGATAAGGTTTTGGTGTGGTTTCTCATGTCAATAATACTAGATAGAAGCTGCTTATCTGATTGTACAGATTGTGGAGAGAACTAGTTCTTTTAGCAGAAGACTCTCCTACAAATAAGATGCATCTTGACCATCTGTTGCCAGATGGAAGTGTTCTACTTCTGAATCACTGGCTGCAGTGACATATTTAGACAATGAATCTTTCATGGATAGATCCAAAGCACAAATACATGTTGAGGTTATTTTTTGTGTTTACTTGGCCTTAAGTTTTAGTATGGCTATATACTCTTGTGAACATACTGTTGTTTCATAGATAGCAAATCTAGCAGTTTGCACTCACCCTTTGTGAGGTATCCCAATTGCCTGAATAAGAAGTACATAATTTATCACTAAAAAATGCAAACACAACATAGAGGTCCTATTTCACTGTACATTTGTTTGAGGAGTCTGAACAATTCAGCCTATGTACTTTAGTAGGCAGTGTAGGCAGTATTTTGGTATCCAGGCAGGCCCAGAACACAGCTCACCGACTCATGTACCTTCACTTACTGGTCTTTACTTAAATTTCCCTTGTGGAAAAAAAAAATTGTATTCTTTCTTTCTTTTTTTTTCTTTAGGATATTTACTGTGATTTATTTTTTTTAAGTTAACAGAGATTAGGAAGAAGAAAAAAAATTTCCATAAGCTAACTGGGAACTTTACAACTATGCAGTAAAATTTCAAGTCATTGCTGTTTTAATGAAGTATAAAGATGATTATCATGCTTAAGTTCTTTGAAGTTTAATTGTGGCTTTTTACACATATTATTATGCACGAATTAGGTCTTATGCAGAAGTTGAGGACTACCAGTGAATTTTATTTCGTCAGAAATAATGCCAGGTTTTAGTCTTACATGAGCTGAGTTTATTTGACCTGAAGGAAATAGAACAAATAAGTGGAATCTGAAGAAATAGCATGTAGAGATTAATATATGCTAGCCTACATCAAATTTTTCTCGATGAGGAATAATTGATACATCATTATGCTGCAGTTTCATAGAGTCTCTCATACTGATGACATTGTGCACCATTTTGATTTTGAAAAAGAATTATATCCGGTGCCATCTGTTTGGCCATGCAGAATTTGATTAGATAGTCACATAAGGAAAGTACTTAATATATTTTAAGTTACAGTTGAAAGAAAAGCAGCAGCTAAAGACTGGGAAGAAAACCATTACAGTGTATTCAGCCCAGCTTACCAAAAATCCCCATCAGGAATTCTGCAGATCAGCAGTTTAAGACAACTTGAGATGCAGCTATTCTTAAATACAAATTAGTTTTGATATACATGTGGTTGGGGTGATTTATGCTGCTTTATTGTACTTTTGGTGAACACTAGTGCAATTGATTTTTTCTGGAAAAAATATTTAGAAATAGTACATTTCACAGGGCGGCATGTGAACTAACTTTTAATTTTAATTAATACAGGATGGAATTGATCCTTGTAACAGAAACAATAATATGTGATATTTATATCTGCTTAAAACTAATCAACATTACTCAGAATTTAAACATTTTGCGATTAAGAGAATTCAAAAAATCAGGACAGAAATGTCAATACTGAACAAATTTGAAGAAACCACAGTATAACTTCACTTACTCTGCTATAATTTTGTTCTAATACTGTTAATGAGGCAGAGAGAAAGTACGTTAATCAGCCGGATAAGTTTTATCAGCAGCTGTCTCACACCTGATTCCAGATGACACTATATGACAGACAGGGCAATGTCCACTGCTCATGGTGGGCCAACTCTACATTCACTGTTGGATAGTGCCTGTGACTGATCAGACCCAGAGTTCAGATAAGGAATGCACAAACTAGAAAAGAATACAGAAAGTGTGGTTGGCCAGAAAGTACTGCAGTGACTCTAAATACTCAACTGAGCGCTGAGTGAGGCAATGACTTGTGAGACGAAAGATGCTTCTCACATGTAGGTACAATCATGGATACATCAGTCAAGCTTGACTCACCCGCCGCCTCCACAGCACTCCCAACTGTGACTGTGAGGGACTCTCGGCAGCATTAATTTTAGTGTCATCAGTGTGTAATTGAAACAAACCCCTTTTAATTTCCATGTTTTATTTGTGAATTACTTGTTCAAAACGTTTAGGATTCAAGAATTGGTTCCACTGGGTTTAGAACAAGTGCAATGTCATTTCCCCATCGCATGGCCCGTGTCATTCATACCTCACTGGGTGTTGATAATACAGAGAATGCTGAAGCTGATTTTGCCTTGTCTGGTAAATCCATTCCTGACTGGAGAGCAAGCTGCATATTAAGACTAGCTTTTTAAAACATTCCACATATTTTAATATTTTGATTCTAAAACAGAGAGCAAAATGAAGACAATAAGCCATTCCAAGATCTATATTATTCCAGACAGTTAGACTGCACTAACTATTCTAGTGAATCTCTGCAGAGATTCCCACAGTGAGCTGCCTCACTGTGGGAAGGTGTCTGTGTAGATGCCTTCTGAGTGGCAAGGGCTTCCTGCTATTATGGTGGAGGGTCATTGTCACGTTTGTGGTGGATGGGATTTCATGTCAGCACCAGGATTTTGCTCCTTCACTCCAGTGGGGTCTTTTAAGTACAAAACTACAGGATTAAGATTCACCTTGATTTCACAAATGGAGTAATTTTATGGAATTCTTTTATTGGTTAATCCCATATTAATTTGCCTGCTTGTAAAACAAGTGCATTCTTCCCTCATCTTCTTAAAAGAAAAATGACTTTGTTACTTCTGATACTGCGGCTTGTTGGGCAAAACTTAATCCTGTCGCTACAAACATAATCCCATGAATCCTCTTCTTACTGATAACACTTTTTACTATCTAAACTCCTGTGGGAGCTTTTGATTTGGTGTTTGACAGGCTTCCAGGTCCTCTTAATGTTAATCTTCAGATAATGAGTAATCTAAGAAAGAGAGGGATATAGTTTCTCTGGTTATAGCTTTCATCTTTTATGGTAATAAGATTGTCACTCAATACTCTTTCAATTCTTTAACAGCTTTTGAAAAATTTTATCTAATTTCAAGACAGAAGAGCACAATTTAGCTCCCAATATCATCACAAATGAAACACCCATCAGAAGGTCAGCAAAGAATGAAGAAACAAGACATTTGTGCAACATATATGGAAATCACTAGGGAAAATATTGTGTTGGTATCTATTGCACTGCCTCCAATCTTCCAGTAACATTCTCCCCCACATTTCATTTACACTTGACATACATGTTGCTGTCCATTGACAATCACTGACAGCCTGGCAGATGTTACAGGGACCTTGTTGGCTATGGATGGATACACTGTGAGGTGGAAGGTTATTTGGAGGAAGTGGCAAAGCGAGTAACTGCTCTGGGCTTCAGAGGGACAGAGCATCTGAGTTCATTACTGAGGTTCACCAGTTAGTGGCACTCATGAATTTTCAGGTAGCAAAAGCAGCCAAGTGTGCCATTTCCTGCTCTCATCAGAGTGATTCACAACTTTTCTTCTCTCATGTGTCTCAGCTGATAGCAACTTATTCTTACAGAATTTATATTTCTTTCTCTTTCTTGTCATTAAAATTTCATCATCTTTTCTATTCTCCATTACCTCTATGAAGACTATATAGATTTGGCACATAAAAATGGTTTCCTACCATGAAGATTTTCTTCATAGCACAGTGACCTTATTTTCCTGTTTTCTTAGCAGAATAGACACATGCTCTGCTTACCTTCTGCAAGCCACTACATTTTTACCACATTGGAGAATGTAAGTGCTACCGATAGTTCTAGTGAGCTCTATATGCATTTTAGTAGATTTTTTTTTTTAGTTCAGAGTGCATCTTACATCTCCTGCTTATTGGTAAGTATTTTTGCATTAGGATAGGGGAACTTCACCCATAAATGGAAAGAGACAAATGACATGGAAGATGCCATTTGTATTTTTAGATAAACTCCAAGTTATAGGGAAACCTGTGATGGAACAGACATTTTAGAATGTTACAGCAGTGTCTTAAATCTGCTTGGCACTGGCTTTCACCAAAAATGCTGAAAGACAGACATAAGAATGGCAACTGCGGATAATAGATGTGGCAAAATAGTGAGATTAGGGGACTCAGTTTCAGAACTAAGGATATTTGAGTTCCTTTTTCTGGCTGTGGCAGAAATATGGTATTAAATAAATTTTTTGAAGTCATATTCAAGCTGTAAGC